TGAGGTGACTTGCTGACCTTGTATAATGTCAAGAGGAATTATTGTTAAAGTACAGTAGCCAGATACCACACACACACACACACACACACACACACACACACACACGCAACTTTAATGGTTTTTCTCACCCTCACTATTATAGAGAAGAGAGTTGTACTGTCATGTCTTTGTGTTCTCAAAATCAACCTTCACCTTTCAGGAAAAAGTGGCAGAAAGTGCATTCACGTCTGTAGCTTTTCTGTTTGTGTGTCTGTTTGGTCCGTGTGTCCTTTCATAAGGCTTCTCCGCAGAAACAAATCTGACGCAGCAGCGCACTCAGAAAATGCTTCTCTCAGATGTGGGGCTGCAGCCCTGTGGCTCCTTCTCTTTCCCTCAAAGGAATGCTGCAGCTCGCAGGACCCTCACACAGGCCTTGAAGCATTCGTACTAAATAATCCTCGAGAACACAGTAGTTACCAGACTCTGACCTTCCTAAGACTAGTGTGATCAGGGAAGAGTGGCCCCCGCAGTCTGAGCTTTACATTGTTTGCTGGGACATAGTGGGCAAGTAGAATGCCCCCTAGAGAGGAGGCTGTTCTCACTCAAAGACAAGTAGCTTTGATGCCTGACAGTTTGTGAAGGTCTCGGAAGAACTGGGCTTATGGCATCAGACTACATCCATCCATCTCAGCTCTGGTCTCTTCCAACTCCCAACCCACAAGCACTCAGAAGTCGGTCTGAGATATTAAGACTGCACTTAAGGCAAAATGAATCAACTTGAGTCATGAACAGCAGTGCTATCAAGGCTGATATTTCTCCTCAAACAAAGAAGACACTGCCCATGAAATTCTGAAACCCTTTCCAGCTCATTGAACCCACTTCCTGAACACGTCATGGTTTTTGTTTTCAGTATAGCTTCATATATTTGCCAAGCTATTCCATCTGCTCTGAAAGCCCTCTCTCGCCTTCCTGTAGTAAACTCAAGACTTACCCTCCAGGAGTCAGTTTCAATGTAACCACTTATTTGATGCTTTTGCCAACTTCCCAGGCAGAAAGTTCTTTCCTCTTCTCTTCCCTGGTCTTTGTACTTTCATTTGTCCTTTTTCTTATGCATGCCTTATTTCATTTATTCAAAGAGTATATAATTTAATGCCATGTGTATGCCAAACACTACACAAGCCACTTTTCCTAAAATATTGCAATGTTTGTCTATGAAAATTGTCTAACAAAACTGGAGGTCTTCTGAAGTCAGAAAATTAGTCATTTAAATCTTGAAATCCCAAATGCCGAAAGCAGGTTAAATAGTACCCTTACTCAGAAATTATATTTACAACAAACAAATTAATGCCCTGCTCTCTGTAGGTTCAATGATCGTTGTTTATTTGATAATTGTTTACCTACCATAGTAAGATTAAGCACTTGTGCTTCCAAGTACTAGCCTTGAACACAGGAAGCGTTGGGTATTTCATGATTCAAACCTAGGAAAAGTTAGTATCTCAATTTCTTTGTTTATAAACAGAGACAAAAATGCTTATACTGTGAATGAGAGAAGTAAATAAAGTAATGTGTGAAATGTATTTTGTACTTATCCCAATGTTCTACGAGTGGTAGCCATCAGTTTTAATGATCAATATATTTAGAAATCATGTCAAAATAGCATTATTAATTTTTACAACAGACAGTGGAAATTTTAGGAGCCTTGCCAAGGCTGAACTGAGTAGCTCAAATACATGACGTGATGTCCGCCCTGTGTCAACAAAGACTACTATAGGGTCAGCTCAAAGAATCAAGAGGTTGTCACTATCATCCAATTACTCAGATACAAAGGCTCTTGCAAATGTGAGGCTGAAAAACAACCAAGATGCCCAGTGTGCAGTGCCCGAGTCAACTCTAATTCACTCACATCAATAACAAGCACATATGATGAGCATGCATGCGATTCCATCTCCAGTACATCCTCTAAAAATAAAAATGTAAATAAACTTAATTACGCTCCCCTTCCAAAAAAATTAAGATTAAAAAAGCATAATAACAAGTACATGTGAAATGGCCGCGTCTTTGCAGTTCTTAAGGCACTGCTTTAGGATGGTTTCAAGGACTGGGCATCTTCTCCAAGGGCATGGACTGGCGTCTTGGCAACAGGCATGAGATTCATGCTGGGACAACAGGCATAAACAGAACTATCCTAGGCAAACTGAAATGTATGGTTGCCCCCTTATAAATTAATTTAAAGAATATACGTTTTATCAAAGAAATATCTTAAACATAGTGATAATGTGAACCTAGAAAAGAAAGCAGATGTAAAGATTTACATATATATGTGTGTATATATATTACATACATATATATATGGAGAGAGAGATGTATAATATTGTGAGAGCTTTTATGGGAATATTTAATGAATGAGTGAAGTAAGTACTAACCACAATAAATGAAAGAACTGTAAGATAATGCTGCTTGGGAAGCCAGAAATTACATGAGAACATAACTAAAGAGTATCTTAAAGAATGTTTCAGAGTTTTGGAAGTGAAGAACAGAACTGGTGAGACAACAAGCTTTCCATGCCAAGAAGAGAGTATTAGCAAACGAAAGAGGTTGGACCTGGTGTGTCTGCAGAAAAAAAATTTACTCTCGTTAAGCTCTTAGATACTAGGTAGAAAAATTAAAGTCAGCAGAGTAAAAGAATGTTAGTCCCTCTTGTAGATGATGAAATCTTAAATGACCCTACTTTCTTAAAGTCTTAAAGTTCACTACCTAAATTACACAACTTTCACAAATGTCAAACTATTAACAAACATTGATCTGGATGCATTGAAACCTACATAATTAGTAAAGATATAGAAGATCTGAAGAGTCCGAAGAGGCTAATTAGTACGTTGGATCAAATAGAGATAGATGGAATACTGAACACACCAAACAAATATATACATTCTTTTCAAGCACACATCCTTAACAGGCATCGGTGGTAGAGAGAATTTTAAGATGGCTCCCAAGAGCCTTGCACCTGGTATACATACTGCTTCTCCCAGTTATTCAATCAAACTGATCTATGTACTACTATAAAGGGCTTTTACAGATGCAATTAGGGTCTCAAATAAGTTGACCTTAAGATAGGAAAGTAATCCAGTTGGATTTAACCTAATTCCATGAGCCCTTTAAATTTGAGTCTAGAGGTCAGAGACAAAGAAAGTCAGAGATTCAAAGTATGAGGAAGATTTGACCCAAGAGAAATTTTCTGTTGCTGGCTTTTAAGATGGAGGGAGTAACAAGGCTTGGAATACAGGTGGCCTCTAGTTGCTGAGAGCTGACAAATAAATGGGAACCTCAGTCCGATACCCACAAGAAACTGAATGCTACGAACCAACAAGAAGAATGAGCTCAGAAGCATATGCTGCATGCTGCCCCAGTTCCTCCAGACGAGAAGTGATTTCCGTATTGTCACAACCTGAGCAGAGAATCTAGACAGCCTCTGCCAGATTTCTGAGCTACAGAACTGTGGGCTGATAAATGGCTGCCATTTTAAGTCTCTAAATTTGAGATGATTGGTTATGCAGCAATAGAAAATTAATATAGTTTCAGCCCATAAGGAAATCCCAACAGATATCAAATAATTTATAAAACACAGACTACTCTCTGACTAAAATTTAATAAAATTTAGAAATGATAAAATATGCTCCTCAGAGTCCCATAAACTTTGAATTTTTTTAAAGCAATTCTAAATAGTCCATAATTCAAAGGACAAATAATAAGTATTAAAATATTGAGAAATAAATGATAAAGCTATATTGTGTCTGTGAATGAGAAAATGCAATAAAATATTCAATTCTCTTTAAATTTAATCTACTGATTCCATACAATTCCTTTAATACATCCAACAAGATTTCGGTGAAAAAACCAAGTCAACCCTGATACTCCTATAGAAAATTATTTTTCAAGTTTCTTATTTAAAAACAAGTTGCAATAAACGATCTTGTCCAAATAAATTTGAGAACTTTTGTGAGAACATTAAAAAACAAATGGTAAGTTGAGATGGTGGAGTAGGAGGACCCTGAGCTCAGCCCCTCCCACGGCATAACAAAATTACAGTTATGTACAGAGCAACTATCTCTGACAGCAACCTGAAGAACAGCAGAGGAGATTTTTCGCAAGCAAGGGTAAAAAGAAGGAACCACAGTGAGATGGGTGGGAGAAGTGGAGACACGATATGGTCAAGACTCACACCATCAAGTACGTGACCCACAAACTGGAGGACAGTCACAACTGCAGAGGTCCTCCCTAAGGAGTGGGGTGTCCAAGCCCCACAGTGGACACCCCAGCCCCGGGACCTGCACTGGGAAGATGAACCCCAGAACATCTGGCTTTGAAGGCCAATGAGACTTGTGTATAGGACAGCTGGAGAGCTGCAGGGAAGAGGCTCTGTTCTTAAAGAGTGCACACAAAATCTGAGACGCTCCAAGACCCAGCACAGAGACATTTGAAAGAAGTCACATCCACCTGATGATCCTGGAGAGCCTCTTGGAGAGGCAAGAGGCAATGGGGACTCCCCTGGGGACACAGACACTGGTGGCAGCCCTTAGGGGGAACTCACTGTACCACAAGCCCACTGGTGCTGACAAGCGCCATTCTGAATCCTCCCTCAGCCTCCTAGTGTCAGAGGCTTACCAGCCCACCAGCAGGCAGGCACCAGTCCCAAGACCCCCTAGTCAGCCACTTCAGAACCTGGCCTCGCCCTCCAGCAGGCTGGCGGGGCCGGAACCAGGCCCGCACTGGCCCCGCAGACAGGTGCCCTGGGACCCGACCCCACCCACGGGCCAACAACAGCCCGGGCCACAAAACAAATTTCAATAAATTTAAGAAGACTGAAATCATACCAAGTATTTCTTCCCAACAAAAATCACATGAGACTAGAAATTAAGTACACGAAGAAAACCGGAAAAATCACAAACAAGTGGAGGCAAAACAAAATGCTACTAAGTAATGATTGAGCCATTGATGAAATCAAAGAAAAATGAAAAACATACCTGGAGGCGAATGCAAATGGAAGCACGATAATCCAAAATCTATGGGATGCAGCAGAAGCGGCTCTAGGAGTGAAGCTGATAGTGACACAATCCTACATCAGGAAACAAACAAACAAACAAACAAAAACTCAAGTAAACAATCTAATGTAGATGAGGTTTATCCGTAAAGACTCATGGTCTTGCGGCTGTGGAAGTGATACTTTGGATAAAGTATGGATGTTAGTCCTAAATGTTGGTAGAGGCATTGATTTCATCTTCTACTATGTCTCCACTGGAATTTTAGAGCAAATTTGAAAGATCCAATTGGATCGTGATTTTGAGATGATTGGCATTTAAAAAAAGAAAAGTTCCCAGACAAATCCACTGAGACAAATCTAGGCTCTAAGTCCATAAAACTGAAAAGGTTAAAATTATGCAGGTCACTTTTACAGACGCAGAATGCTAATAGTCTACAGCAAGAGCAAGGTATTGGTCCCCAAAATAAATGGATTTGAATGCTGGTTTCACCGTTAGGTGGAAAGTCTTGGGCACATCACTCAACCTTTTTGTATTTCATATAACTCATCTGTAAAATGGGGATAACACTGCCAAGTATAATAAGGACAATGAAAAGTTACCAGCACATTGCAAATATCCAAAGAATGGTAGTTGCTACTGGGATGAGTTTTTTTTGTTGTTATCATTCTCATATGATTTGCTTTTTTCCTTCTGGGTAATGGTGGTGATTGGCTAGCAAATGCAAACTCCTATCAGGTCCCACGCATTGGTCAGCATGAGCTCTGTTAGCTAAATACATAGATTATGAACCACTTAGTTGATTTACACATTTCTGCAGCTGAAAAAAAATATTTACCAGGCAGATTAAATTAAATTAAAACAATCAGATTAAAAGCAGCCTGGAGGCTGCCCCTCTCCTCAACAAGGGACACTTTGCCTTGCTCTGGGTAGCAAACTCATGCCAGCTGCTTGGCAAATTTAGCAGTAACTTGAGGAGGTGTGATTAGAACTGCGAAGGGGACAGAAATGCTTGGGAAGGTGGGCTTCTGTCTTCACACTGTATTCACATCACAGCTCTGGGCGTAGGCGCCTCTCACTAATGCAGAGCAACACAGACAAGGAATGCGAAGTTGGAAGGAGAGAACATTTGGCTTAAACTTGGATGAGGTAGGAAGTTTAAGTTTCCACTACAGGTTAGTACCATCTGATAAGTAAGTCGATTTTTCAAAGGTGAAGTGGTAGTTAGCGCTAATTCAGAGCAGATTTTCTTATAAATCTAAATTTATATTCAGTGACCAGGTGATCAGCTTCCCAGGTGGGGCCACACAAGTATTTTTAATCCAAAGAGCATAATGTGACAAGTGCCACACTCAAGCATTAAGCCCAATAAAGCCATGCCCTGTAGCCAGATTTTTTTTTTTTGGCTTGCTTGCTTTTTAGATAGTCCATATAAAATTGCATTCTCTTCAAGCACTGTTTTTAAAACAGTATTCAATGGCCACATAGAATATTATTAAATCAACATGGGTTGCTTCTATGCATCTTCCAGCACTTTCTAGTGTAAGTTATATTGGCTACATTAACTTAGTTATATCACAGGAGACACTGCTTAACCCCAAATTTACCAAACCATGTTCCATAGCTCAATATTTCAAGAGATGTTAATAGCAAAAGAAAGAAAAGCTACTTTGTGAAATAAATTTGGGAAAGTGCGTACACTAAAACCTCCCCTTGGAGAATCACAAAGCACATTCAGTTATTAAAGATTCTAAGGTAAAGAAACCTGTTAAACTTCATGTCATTAGCTGTCATTAAACTTAATTTCAATAAGTAACAAATTTTTGTTTTATACTATCTTCATTAAAATTCTGAGAATAGCGTTCAATAAAACACTAGCTTGGAAAATACCAGTCCACTTATTTCCACCCAGTGGTGTACATGGTCATAACAAACACAGCAGAACAACAGCCCATTGCTTACACCTTCAGTTATGTTCAGTACTGTCATAATAAAAGTAATATACCATAGCTGTATCATGGAGAACTTGAATTTTTACAGACTGTCTTAGAAAGATATAACTTGGTATTCAGTGGAAAATAAAATTCACGGTTCTGTGGGAAAAGACCATAACTGCTCCTCCTTCTGTCTCTGAAGTCTGGACCATGACTTCCGGGATAGCATCTTCCCCATGACTAGGTACCCCCAGGAGAATTTGCTCACCGAAAAGCTTGGGTTCAGTGTTCTGCTCATAAGCAGAGTATCAACTTACACCTACACTCTTGCTGATGAAAAATACTCTCTCCAACATATAGATAAATTGGCTGCTTCTAATGTTTTCAATATTATTTTCTTCCTTTCCCAAGAAAATAATTGGTCTAGAATCTTCACAGTCTATCTTATGCTGAAAATATACGTTAAAAAAAACCCTGTCTCCATGGAAGAGTTTAAAGATAAACGTGAGTTACGGTTTCAAGCTCTGAGGGACAGGATCCTGACTTTAGATTTCATCCTCTGCTGAGGGTAGAACACATTAGGCAGTGAAAAAAATCCCCTCCCTTCCTGCACTGGAAGTATGCGTTCTGGCTGAGCAAGGCCAGGAACTTTGAGGGGGAGTCACTGTGCAACGTGGATTCCAGCAGGCACTATAGATCTGACCCAGAAAGGCCCAGGCCCAGCTCTCGTCTGTAGTCCCGGCAGGCCTGCTGGAGACCAGCAGCTTGCTTTGGCTTATTTAATTACCTCCCTGGCCAGTGAAGTTCACGCTGCTTTCTATGGCATTGAAGCGTTTGGTTTCATGTACTTGAACTTGGGTGACACAAATATTTCAGTGGTGAATCAGTCCTTGAAAAAGGGAGGTGGGTAAGGTAGGGAGTGTTTACAGAAGACATTTCATCACCACTAGTCAAACATGTCTCATTGTTGGTTCAGGAGGGCCTGGTATTTTCCTCTTTGAAGGGGATGCTCGGGGAGCCAAGAGCTTCCAGCCTGGAGCTCAGCAGCTCCAGGGTAGGGCAGTGGCCATTTGCACACAGGAAACCCACAGGATGAGTTGCTTTGGAATGTTGACAATCTTAGGGAAATGGTTTTATGTCTTTCCTCAGGGGACAAAAGAAAAAAAAAAAACAAAAAACTTGGTAGATCTCTGTAAAGAAAGCCTGAGGCTGTCTTGGGGCTGCTGCAGAGAAACTGCCCTATATTTTTTTTTTTCTCTTTAATTTAAGTTTGTCTTTTAAAGGTTTCCCAGTTGCAGAAGCCCAACGCTGAGGTCAAGAAGCTTATAATTTCAGAAAAGCAGTACTGCTGATATCAATGGTATAAAAGCTTGGTTGGAAGATAAATGGGATTTCTTTGGCCTGGGTACATCACTTGGATCATAAGTGATAGAAACCCAGACCCCACACAGCAGTCCCATGCGCCCTCAGCCATCAGGTTGAGAAGAGATGGCACCACGGTCCTGAGTGCCCTGCCAGCCTGGGGAAGTGGAAGTCACTTAAATAGCCTTCCGTCCGTCATTCTGGGGGTGTGGCACTCTGAATGGCAAAGGGGTCTGAAGACGATTGCATTTAGAAAAACCATAGCTGAGCCATGCCAAGAAACACAAACCAAAAGGAAATATTTTAAGAAAATAAACAAAGCTACTGAGTCAAACATACAAAGCAGGAAAGCGGAACAAAAGATTATTTGAGGCCTGAGGTTCGAACATTTTGAAGCCACACGTGTGATGGGCCAGCCCGAGAACATGAGGAGCCCAACAGCTGTGTAAGCGCAGAGGCAGCCTGCTCCCACCAGGGCTCCCCAGCCCCAGAGGCTCCGCGCCAGCCCACCGAGCTAGCCCACTGTGTGACTTGAGCTCAGCCTTGAGCTATGTGGAAACAGGGCTCCACCACTGCAGGCCACACAGACACAGATCGAGCTGAAAGGACCATCCCACTGACTGAGCCGCTCCTGTCACGTGCATCTAAGTGTCCTCCAGTCCTAAGTTTGTTGTTCAGGAACCTTAAAGGACAGCAGCGTTGTAATATAAAACAGTGCTAACTAGGTGTGTGTATCAGGTTTACAAGTTTGGCTATCAGAACGTCTACACAAGTACCTGTCACATTAATATGACACTGTCCTCAGAATCCCAGAATTCTGGCACTGGATTTGCCTGGTTGAATCATTTCGCATCCCAAGGACTTAAGCTCTGTAAAACAAGGCACCAGTTGGGCAGTGGAGAGAGGGTGTAGCTCAAGTGGTGTTCTTGGCATGCACGAGGTCCTGGGTTCAATCCCCAGTACCTCCTCCAAAAATAAATAAACCTAATTACCTCCCGCCTAACCCCCACCACAATAAAATAATTAAATAACACAATAAAAAAAATTTTGTTAAAACACAAGATGCCAGTTGGATACACTTCAGGGTCAAGCACACATTCTAGTGAATGAAGTGAGACCCCAGTGCCCAGCAGCCTCTATCAAAGAGCCATGTCTTGCTGGCACTGAATATGAATCCATGTCCACCATCTTTGATCCACCCAGAGGGTTTCTGAACCAATTACCTTAGACACAACAGAATGCCTTTCACCAAGATGCACTATAAGGCCATGCTTTTGGCTTTTATGAGAGGTTCAATAAAACATGTGCTATACAAAAACCACTCTGAGTTCGTTGTGAAATAATTGTCAAGGATATAACCATATCTGATTGCAAGTTATTTTTGTGATTAAAGGCCAGAAAATGCATGCCTCTTGAGGAATGAGTTTATTTCCTATATTCTGTTGAGGAAGTTTATCAGGTTTTCCTTGCTGCTGTGGTTGCCAGGAAACTCACGCATAAATGTCATAATCATAACTCTGTAACTTCTCATGAACAGTACAAGGAAGAAACAGGAGGCCAAAGTGGTGCTGATCATGAGAAGTTACAGAGTTATGATACGGCATTTATACATATATATATACATACATACATACACGCATATGTATATATACTTGTATATGTATGTGTATATATGTATATATGAGTGTACTATATACATTCGTATATATTAAATGTGTGTGTGTGTGTGTGTGTGTGTATATATATATATATACACATACACACCCAGATATGTGTCCTGG